GCATTAATTGCCCTGACACATGGCATCACCAGACACTCCACACCCATTCGTCTTCCCCACGTGCTCAGAGATTAAGCACGTCCGTTCACTTTACACCTTCTTGACATACTGTCTCGTCGAGCATCCTCGACTCTTACCCTTGTACACGACCCTAAATTCTATATGTCAGGCAAACTACCATCTTCTGAACTGGTCCTCGACACTTTACTTGATCTTAAGTCATTACTCCTCCACTTAGGAGTAACGACTTGGGGGGCTCCTGTTCTAGATTGGGCCGAGACTTGCCCCTCAGTCGGGCAGGCCTAGCCCAATACTACGCTGATGAAGCCCAACAAGGTTCAATCCTCCTTTGTCGGGCACGTGCCTCAACAAGGAATCTCTGTCGGGCAGAGCATTATCTTGTCGGGAAATCGGAGGCATCTCCGTCGAGCAGAGCATTATCTTTTCGGGGAAGCTCAGGCGCTTCTCCCATGGACTCCACGTGCCTTCCGCGTGGGGACACATCATCAGGCAACTACTCACTTTCGAAAGAGTTGGTCAACCCATCTTCTGAAGATCAAGAGGCAGTTGATCTAGGACGAAGACCATGTGCTGGTCTTCCCTACGCCACGTAAGCCCTGGTAGTTACTTGTGTTGGGCTTGACAATCCGGCCTAGTGCAATGTAAATGTTGGCCCTATGTTGGGGGCACATTATAAATACTCTCTTTCACTAGAGGGTCAGATATCTTATTCTCTACACCTACTCTCTCTGTACATGCTCTTTCTAAAACTCCATTACTCACTTAAGCATCGGAGTACCTTACAGATACACTCCCTCCTCCTCTACAACGCCGGTAAACACAGAAGCTCACGGCGCGTGACAGACTACTGATTCCTTTTTAATCAGGTGAAATCAAATATTAAATTGTAATTTAGTTGTAAACTAAAATCCATTTTAGTATGGATCTATTCAATAAGATTGAGGGATGTATAAAACAAAATTATATTGTTTATTATTATTATTGAATTTTGTAAGTAATGTAAATTTTTTTGATATGATGGATATTTTACAATTTTTAAAAATATTATCTTAGAGTCAATTTAAAAAATAAAAAGAGAAAAAGAAAGAGTGAGGTATGATTTTTTTTCCTATTAATATTGGGTTTAAGTTTGTATATTATGCTTAACTTTATAATCACCTTTCCATGCATTTTTATAAAAACTCTTTAAAGTTTGACCAACCAATTACAATACAACATATGTGTAATTCCATTCATAAATTCACCATTTTGTGATGTTTTAAATTTATAAAATAGGACAAATTTATATGTTTTATTAGAAAACTTTGTATTCACCTATCATAATTGTTTCATGTCTTTTACTAAACCAAAAGTTATAGCGAATTATAATATAAATATTACTTTTTTATTATTAAAAATACAATTTTATATAAATATATAATTACGTGTAATTTCAATTTATATATTTTTATATTAATTAAGATATATAATAAATATCAAGTTGTATTTTAGTTATAAAAAAAAAATCATTTTTATATGGATCTATTCAATAAGATTAAATGAGGTTTAAAATTAAATTAATTTTTTTTTAATAAAAAATTTGGTTATAAAGAATAATTTTTTTTGATAACTCATAGTAAATTGTATTATGATTTATAAACAATGTATAATTATTTCTAATGATTCTAAAATCAATAATATTGATTCTTTATAATTTCTAAAAATATAATGTTGATTCTTTATCATTGTTAAATATAGTTAAATTTATAAAGATAACAAAAATAATGATAATTCTTATTTTTTATTAAAATAAATACTAATACCTATATTTATCATAACTGTCAAAAATATTTTATTTGTTTAAATATAATATATATATATATATATATATATATATATATATATATATATATATATATATATATATATATATATATATATATATATATATATATATATATATATATATATATATATATATATATATATATATATATATATATATATATATATATATATATATATATATATATATATATATATATATATATATATATATATATAGTTTGTTAATATAGATCCACTTGTTTTTATGAAGGTTTATTTTAGAAAGTTTCAACTAAAAAAGTTTTAAATACACCTACTGAAACAAATATTCATAAAAATAAGTGGGTGTATTATAGCAAACTCCACATAATTTGGCTATAATACACGCACTTGCTTTTATGAAGGTGTGTTTTAACAAGTTTTAACTAAAAAAATGATTAGATGCATTCTAAAGCGCATGTTGCTAAAATAGATCTTCATAAAAATAAGTGGATCTACATTAACAAATCCTATATATATATATATATATATATATATATATATATATATATATATATATATATATATATATATATATATATATATATATATATATATATATATATATATATATATATATATATATATATATATATATATATATATATATATATATATATATATATATATATATATATATATATATATATATATATATATATATATATATATATATATATATATATATATATATATATATATATATATATATATAAATTTATGTTGTGAGAGGTTGATTATGCTTAGACAAAACTAAGTAGGTAACTTTTTCTCATAACATGTTATTAACTAGCAAACAACCTTTTCAAAGTGTTTTTAAAAACTAAAAAGTGTTTTTAGTGTTTTCTTAAACATTCATCTTTTTTTTTCCCGGGGAAGGGAGTTGTTGATGATTTCAAAAAAGAAAATTTTTGCTAAAAAAATTTTGACATCTTTGATTTGGGAGAAATCCTTCTATCCCTTCGGGTTGATAGTTAAACAATTTGTTGTTTGCTTAGATGACTTTTAATTGGTTGTTGTTTTAGCTAAAATTATGTTATGAGTCCAAGTTATCTATTTAGATTTAACTTTGCATATCAACCAATCACAACATTCTTAGCCTATTGCCCTATGGATTCTGATGATGATAATCATCAAAATAATTTAATAAAAAATGAAGAATTAATTGAATATCCAAAAAATATGGATAAACTCAACAGATGGGTTATACCCTCAGTTCCTTCTAATCAAATTTATAGATTTGGTAAGATAGATGTTTTTTCTCGTTTTGCTGTTAAAACTTTAGAGCAAACGATTCAAATTTCTAAAGAAACTCAGACAATAAAACTGTTAACTAAAAAAGATTTGAAACCTTTTAAAAATTATAATTTTATCCATATTGGATTGGTTCAAATTGCTTTAAAACCTTTAACATTATTGGGTTTAAATTCTAGCATAATGGCTTATGTTAGAGATGGTAGATGTAAAGATTTCAAACAATCTTTAGCTGCTATGGTTGAGACAAGTCTGTGTCATGGACCAGTTTACTTTGATGTCTCACCTAATTTAAATCTATCTTTATCTGATAAAAATTTATTAGATGCTATGCAATTAACAGTTCATACTAATGGTTATAATTTTAAACCGGGAAGTGAAATTATAGCAATATGCTATAGAATCTACTATAAGGTTCTTACTACGCTTAATCCTAAAGCAAAGCATTTATCATTTCCTGGAACCACTACTTTGGTTCAAACCAATTTATTAACATACAATGTTGCAACCAATAGGTTAATAAAGTGGGATGAAATAAACTTCCCAGAGACATGGTCTCTCCCCCAGGAAATAGATCCTGAACCTATCCTTAATAGGGATATAGACCAAATTATTCAGACTACTGAAGGAGATTTAGAAATAAATTTCACTTCAAAAAGAATAACTAGAATACCCAGGTCCCTATCTGCTAGGCACTCAGTTAGTGAATTTTACACAGCTCCTAGCCAATTACCTAGACCTTCTACTTCTCAAATAAGAGAAGAAATAGAGGTCGTTGAGAATATAAGACTAAGCGAAAATAGAGTTCCCCATGGAATTTATCAAAGACCTCATACTCCAAGAGTAGAATCACCTACTCAGTCAGATATGGATTTCCAATTATAATGATAGATTACTCCCCTGGTAGTAAGATGAGACAACTCATCAATGATGAGTTTCAACATGAGAGATACTCTCAATTTAGAAATTGGTTTTTTAAAAAATTTTCAAAACCTGAATTAGCCCAATTTAAAGATGAGTATTACACTCAAATGAACCTTGAGCAGGATTTCGTTCCTTTTGTTAAATGGTTTGTTAATTACTTTATAAATAAAAAGCAAGAAGAAATTCTTGTGTTACAAAGACCTTGGAAAAACATTAGAGGAGAAATAATGGAATCTCCTTTTCCCCCTGAACAAACAATAAGTTTGAGTCAAAATACTGAAGCTACCCCTTACCTTAGCCTTCAGTTACAAAGAGTTGAACAAAATCAAGTTACTCTTAAGGAATTAAATTCAGTTATCAGGTCTCAAAATTATACCAATGCTTACCTTGTTTGCTTAGGAGAACAATTTATCTCCATGGAAAAAGATCTCTTATCCATAAAAGATCTTTTAGAAAAACAAATAGAGCGTCAAGATATCATTATTGACCACATAAGTAAACCTAAAGACCAAATATCCACATCCACTATTTCGGATGTTCCTATAGTACAACCTCCTGTTTCCATAGAAGGATTTAAAATGGAAACTAACGGAGAAGAATTTGTTCGTATTTTAGAACAAAAACTAAAAGGACTTAATATCACTGTCATGTCCCATGAAGATTATTCTGAGGATAATAATGACAACCATATTGACCAGCTTGCTGATATGTTTGCTAATTTAGACATTAGTAACCTTGATATTAATACTAATAGTATTAATAATACTAATAGCATAAATCATGTTTATTCCCCAAGGCCTATAGAAAAGTATTATTACAAGCGTCCCTCACCGCAAGATTTGCCTTTTGAGGAATCAGAACCTTTCCAGAATTCTTATTCAGGAAAAGCCATTTATGAATAGAATGTTGATGGTCTTAATGACAAACAAATTATAGATACTATACATAGGATGATCATGTACTCTACTGTTTACAAGCAACATGGAAATTCTGATGCTTCAATAGCATCCTTTATAACAACAGGATTTGTTGGCCAACTTAGAGGCTGGTGGGATCATTATCTCACTGAATCTCAAAAATTAGAGATTCTTAATCATAAAAAAATCGTTAAGAGCGAACCAAGAACTAGTACGAGCACTATTGTGGCTACAACCACCACAGGAGAAGAAGATGCAGTGTATACACTGTGTCTCTCCATCTTACAACATTTTGTAGGAACCAATGTCCCCATTGGAGAAAAAATCCAAACACTTCTCCAAAACCTTAGGTGTCCTTCTCTCACCCACTTTAGATGGTATAAGGATACTTTTCTTTCAAGAGTTTATCAATTAAACAATCCCAATTCTTTGCATTGGAAAGCAAAATTTATTGATGGATTACCTCATTTCTTTTCAGAAAAAGTTAGACAATCCTTAAGACAGAAAAATGATGGGATAAATATAAATTTTTCAGATCTTACTTATGGTCATATAATTAGCACTTGTGTTAATGAAGGATTAACTTTATGTAATGACATAAAGCTTAGAAATCAACTCAAAAAGCAAAAGCTTTCTGAAAAACACCAAATTGGTGAATTTTGTGAGCAATTTGCTTTTGATCTTGGAAAATCTCCAGATAATAAAAAGAAAAAAGAAAAAATTTTCTGCAATAAACCTTATAGGGATAAGCCAAAAAATTCTTATAAAAATTCTTATAAGAATAAGAAAAGGGGCCACTACAATAAGAGTAGACCTAAAGAAAAATCTTTTGACCCTAAAGGTAAAAGAAAAGCCAAAAGGCTTGACATAACATGTCATAAATGTGGCAAACCTGGCCATTATGCCAACCAATGTTGGACTAAAAAAACTCTTAATGAGATAGAAGATGAACAATTACGTTCTCAATTAGAGAAAGTTTTACTTCTCAAATCTGATTCTGAAGAATACTCTTCTGAAGAAGATATTAATATGATTTATGAATCTTCTTCTGATTACTCATCTGAATCTTCTAACAATAATAATTGTCAATGTAATCAATTAGATTACTGGAAATCAATAGTAGATATGAATGGGTTAAATGTTTTAACCTCAGAACAGGATGGAGCTATAAAGGCTATAGAGTCCATTTCTGATAAAAACCTTAAAAGAAAAATGCTTGAGGTTCTAATCCAAGAAAACTCTAAAAGAGAATCTCCTATTATTACAGAAGCACCTTACCAATTAAGTGAGGTTTTGTCTAGATTTAGACAGTCTAACATTCGTGAAACTCCTGTTTCTATTATGGATTTAAATAGAGAAATAAATCTCTTAAAAAATGAGATAGCTCAAATTAAAAAAGAAAACTATGGTTTATCTCAAAGGCTCACTTTTTTAGAGTCCAATAATTCAAGGGTTGAAGAAATAGCTTCAACTAGTAATCCTTCACCTAGTGATGATTTCCTTTCCCTCATTGATAGAGTGACCTCCCAAAAATGGTTTGTTAGAATAACTTTAGTGATTAATAGAAATTTCATATTAGAAAATGAAGTTGCCCTTATTGATAGTGGCGCTGATTTAAACTGCCTTCAAGAGGGAATTATTCCCACTAAGTATTTTGATAAAACTACTCAATCTCTTACACAAGCTGGAGGAGATAAACTCACGGTTAATTATAAACTGTCTAATGCTTATGTTTGTAACAAAGATATTTGTTTACCCACTCACTTTATTCTTGTGAAAAACTTAACTCATAGAATTATATTAGGAACTCCCTTTCTGCATAAAATTATGCCTCTAATTAATGTTGATCAAAAGGGAATTACCTCCATTATTAATAATAAAAGAATTACTTTTGAATTCATTACTGATCCTCATACTAGGATGATTAATGAAGTTAAAGATATTCTTCTTAAAAAAGAAAAACAAATTTGTTTTCTTAAAGAAGAAGTGGGTTTATTAAACATCACTTCTCAACTAAAAAACCCTGAAATTCAAAATCAAATTAAATTAATTGATCAACATTTTAGAGAAGAAATATGCAATGATTTACCTAATGCCTTTTGGGATAGGAAGAAACATGTTATTTCTTTACCTTATCTTGATGACTTTAATGAAAGTCAGATTCCCACTAAAGCTAGGCCTGCTCAAATGAATCATGAGTATTTGGATTTATGCAAAAAAGAGATAGAATCTCTTTTGTAGAAAAAATTAATAAGGAAATCCAAATCTCCTTGGAGTTGCACAGCCTTTTATGTCAATAATGCTGCAGAAAAGGAACGTGGAGTTCCTAGACTCGTTATTAATTACAAACCACTTAATAAAGTATTAAAATGGATTAGATATCCTATTCCTAATAAAAAAGATCTTTTAGATAGATTAAACAATGCTTTAATCTTCTCTAAATTTGATATGAAATCTGGTTATTGGCAAATTCAGATTAATGAATCTGATAAGTATAAAACAGCCTTTACCGTACCTTTTGGACATTATGAATGGAATGTCCTTCCTTTTGGCCTTAAAAATGCCCCTTCAGAATTTCAAAATATTATGAATGATATTTTTAATCCTTATACGGAATTTATAATTGTTTATATTGATGATGTTTTAGTTTTTTCAAAAACTATAGATCAACATATGAAACATTTGAAAATATTCAAAGGATTAATTAAGCATAATGGATTAGTAATATCTGGTCCTAAGATGAAACTTTTTCAAACAAAGGTTAGATTTTTAGGACATGAAATTGACCAAGGAACTATAATTCCTATACAAAGAAGTATTGAATTTGCTTCTAAATTCCCTAATATTATTACAGATAAGAAACAATTACAAAGGTTTCTTGGTAGCCTTAATTACATAGCAGATTATTATGAAAATCTAGCTAAAGATACGGCAATATTACATGCTAGGCTTAAAAAGAATCCTGGCCCTTGGACTGAAAAACATTCTCAGGCAGTCCAAAGAATTAAAAATAAGGTGAAATGTTTGCCTTGTTTATCTCTTGCTAATCCTAAGTATTTCAAAATTGTTGAAACTGATGCTTCAGACTTAGGCTATGGAGGAATCCTTAAACAAATAATACCTGAAACCTCAAAAGAAGTTTTGGTTAGATTTACTTCTGGAAAATGGAATCCAACACAAGCAAAATATTCAACTATCAAGAAAGAGATGCTTTCTATTATAAAATGCATTTCAAAATTTCAAGATGATCTTCTTAATAAAAATTTTTTATTAAAAATTGATTGTAGCTCAGCTAAATCAATTATTAAAAAAGATGTTAAAAATCTTGTTGCTAAGCAAATTTTTGCTAGTTGGCAATCATAATTATCTATGTTTGAATTTGATATTCAACACATTAAAGGTGAAAATAATTCACTTGCTGATTATTTAACTCGTGAATTTTTGCAGGGAAAAAATGATGACCCCATATAGGGGTAGAGGCCGCGGTTATGGCCGTGGTGGGAGAGGGAGTAACAATATGTTACCCCAGCCAGAATCAAACATTCCTCTAATAGGGGATTGGACTACTGTCTACAAAGGTAGAAAAATGCAGCAATTACCTGCATCTTCAGCAAAAAGGGAAGATATTGCTTCCTCTTCCTCTAATAAAACTACATCCTACAAGGAAGTTGCGGTTAATAACCCACCTCAAGAACAAATGGATTATTTTGAAAATCCAGTAACTGAGAAAATCATGTATATTGATGATGAAGATATAAAGATAAATCCAAATGATGGATGGTCTATCAAAACTAGATACCTCGAATCAAGAGGATATCCAGGTCTTCATGGAAAATCTAGGCCCAACCTAGAAATTCTCCTGACTGTTACCGAATCGGTAATAATTACTCACCATTACCAAAACAATAATCCTGAAAGTTTTATAAACTTCAGCAAATGTCACATTAACAAAATTTTGTTACCAAGAGAATGGGGTCTCAACCCAAATGCTGAAAAAGCAATAAGAATTGCGGAAGGAAAGTACATTTACTTTAATTATTGGGACTATGTCCAGGCTTTCACTCAAGCCTTTTATTACCAAAATCCCAAGAACAAGCATTCTTGGTTTTTCTCTATTAATGAAGAGATGGTTAATAAACCCATACCAAATTGGTTTTATGAATGGTGGGCTAAATTTGGTCCATCTTTGGAAATTCTTCCTAAAGAAATTCTTAACTTATATAATCCATGGTGTGATAATAGTCCACTTATTGTAAATATTTTATCTGATAATTTAATCACTGGACAATGTCCATTATTGTTCTTTATTAAATTTCAGATTCCATGGATATGGAGATGGACAATCACCATATCAAGAAACAAATTTAACATTCCCATTTTAGAAAGAAATTTCTTTTATAAATGGTGGAACAAGATGAGTGCAGAGGATGTTCAGAATAAAATTAAATTAATTGAAGAAGCAATAGCTGAAGACCTGAATAAAAAGGTCAAGGAACAAAGCTCCCAAGAAATGTCTATGGAAAACTTGAAGAACTTCTTCAAGAGAAAATATCCTAATGAATCAGAAGACGAAATTATGGTCAGAATTTTGGATCATATGAAGAACCAATTCTTCTCTACTTTTCCATCAAAAGCATCAAAAGATGAGGATTCATCTATGAAGACAAGCTCTTCCATGGGATCAATGGATTCCCATAATTTTGAAGGTGTAGCAGGAGAAGGTCAAGCAGATGAAGCTACTGCAGAAGATTTCTGGGATGCGATGATTCAATCTTTGAAAGAAAAAAGGAAAGCAAAGAATTAATTTGCTATCTTGTCTAAATATAATGAAGTAAGAATCAATAGACAAAGGTTAAAGGACAAGAAATAATAGAAGAAGAATCTTTCCAAAAGCAAAAGGACAAAGGAATCTTATCTTGTCTTTAATAATTTCTAGGCATAATTGCATGCATTTTCTATCTTTTGTAAAAGACAAGGGGATAAGAATCTTATCTTATCTTGTCTTTAATAATTTCTAGGCATAATTACATGCATTGGCTATCTTTTGTAAAAGACAAGGGAAAAAGAATCTTATCTTGTCTTTAATAATTTCTAGACATGCATGTGATTTTTTTAGTTTCTTGTTAATTGTTGTGACGATGGGGCCCCAAGTGTACCCGACAATAATTATACAAGTTACCGGCTATTGTAAGTTTTAGTTACCGGCTTAAATAGTAAGCCTTTTCTTCCCTATATAAAGGGATTTAAGTTTCATTTGTAAACACACCTTGGAACACCTTTGAATAACAAGTTTGAACTTTCTTGCAATATTGTTTCACAATCTTCTATACTCCTCTTTTCTTTACTAAAATTCCGATCCTGCTTCCGCTAAATACATATATATCTTTAAAAAGATGAATTTTTTTAACTCAAGACAAGAAAAATACTTTTTTTCTTATATTTTAAAGACGTATGCATTTATAAAAACACTCTTATATTTTGGGACAAGAAAAATACCTTTTTTTAAATTATATTTTAGGACGTATGCATGTATAAAAACACTCTATATTTTGGGACAAGAAAAATAATTTTTTTTCTCTTATATTCAACCAAAATATTTTTAAAACACCTTCCATATTTTAGAATAGGTTTTGGAATATACATATTTAAAGTAATTTAGTGTAATTACTAAACATTTATTTTGGAATGTTTTTGTTCTGACCTGGGCTCCAGTCTGGCCACGCGGGCCCAGCCCAATGGTATTCCACCAAGTCCAGTCCACCTTGGACTACAACGTCGGGCACAGGTCCCCGACGAGCAGGATAGGTCTTCCCGCGAGAAGGTCCTACCCCAACCACGTCGGGCAGGAGGATGCCCTCAGAGAAAACACTGCCCTGACGGGCAGAACCTTCTCCCCTCCGCGGGCAGAACCTGCTCTCTCGTCGGGCAGAACAACATGTCCTTCACACGTTCTCCACGTGCTCCCCTCCGCGGGGACACGTCACTAACCAACTGCCCACCTCCGAAAGAGCAGGTCAAACCCACTTTCCGGAGATCACGGGACAGTTGAACTAGGGCGAAGACCACGTTCTGGTCTTCACTATGTCACGTAAGCCCTAGCAGTCACCTGGGTTGGGCCTGACAACCTAACCCAACGCAAGTGACCGTTGGCCCAGCGCTGTGGTCTCTCTATAAATACCCTCTTTCACAAGAGGGTCAGGTAATTCACTTCTTACCCCTTTTTTTGTGCTTGTAACCACTCTGCCCCTACTCACTTTAGCATCGGAGTGTCTTGCAGGTACACCCTCTCCTTCTCCTCATCACCGATGAACAGGTGGCAGTCCAACAGCGTGTGGCCAGTCAGTGATCCCCTTCTGATCAGGTCAGATCAGTGGGGCCGTCTGTGGGAACTTGAAACTTCCCCGTTCCTCCGAGCAAGCGAACCAAAGTTTCACCAATACTCCACGATCATGGCTAGCCCACACCGCGATGATACCGTTCACGATTTCTTCCTCACCCCCGTCGCAAACGGTGGCAAGCAAACGGAGACGTCCCGCCCAGCGGAGACCGACGAGAGGGACGGCCAGACTGCGTCCCCATCGTCCGCGGAACTCGCCCACCAGGTGGCCCTCAGGCCCCGAAGCCCCGCAGCGTTCCAGCCTGTCCATGTCCCGGCCGGAGCTGACCCGACTGTGGCCGCCGTTTTTGCGGTCATCAACCAGACGAACCAGCTTTTATTTCAACAAAACACACAGATTGGAATGCTAGAACGCGAGGTCCCCCCGCGGGAAGACCAGAACGGGAACTCGAGGAGTCCCTCGCCTCAACCCAGAAATCGACGACCTCGGCTGGAGAGACCCCACACCAAAGCAGTGCGGGAGCAGACAAGGTCCCCGAGACAAGTTCGTCAGAGACGGCAAGCCAGAGCAGGGCCCCGATCGGGCCTCCCAGCATCGACCCCCCAGTCAGGAGGCCGAGGACCCGAAACCAGGTGCCTCTTCCAAATGGATCGTCTCCCCCTCGGTCGCCCACTCTCAGCGACGAAGATGACTACAGGACTCCCCTGTCCCGCGAAATCATGGCCGCCCCCATCCCCCACGGGATGGAAAAGCCTCTGACGCTCTCGACGTACGACGGCACCTCCGACACAGACGATCACCTGGAAGACATCGAGGCCATGCTCGACTACCGAAATGTTCGGGGAGCTATCAAATGCAGACTATTCCCGACGACCCTAAGGAAGGGTGCCATGACGTGGTACA